ACAGACCAATATCGGTAATGAACATAGATGCAAGAATCCTCAACAAAATACTCACAAGTTCAACCGCATAGTCCAGAGGATCAAATACCATGAACAAGTGGATTTGTCTCTGGCGTACAAGGACAGTTCAACGTCACAAATCAATAAATTGATACCAGCTGTTCTGGTGGCTCACGCCTATCATCCCAGCTAGGCGGGAGGCTAGAACTGGGAGGATTGCAGTCCCAGGCCAACCTGGGCAAAAAAGCTTGTGAGACCCCATTGCAACAGAAGAAAACTGGGCATGGTGGCCTGCTGTCCCAGCAATAGTGGAAACTTAAACTAGGAGGATCCAGGTCAGCATGGGCAAAAAGCAAGACCCAGAGCAAAAAAGCTGGAGGAGTGACTCAAGCGATAGAGAGCTTGCCTAGCAAGCATGAGGCCCAGAGTTCAAACCCCAGTGCTGCCAGCCAATACAAATGTGTAGATAGCTAGAAAGCTAGATGATAGATAGCTAGGTATAGATGTAGATATAGATATGTATATATACACACACATATATAGTCTCCGCATTAATAGAATGAAGGATAAAAATCATAGTATCATCTCAATACATGCAAAAAAAACATTTGACAGAATTCAATGTCCCTTCATGACAAAAAAACTCAGCAAACTGGGAAGGAATGCACCCGCGCACAAGTAAACACATGACAAGTCACAGCCGGTATCATACACAATGGTGAAAAGAATAAAAGCTTTTCCTAAGATCAGGAGTGAGGCAGTTTGCCCCTCTCACCACTGTTCAACACAGCCTTGCAGAAGAGCAGTGAGAAAGGGGAAAGAAGAAAAAGGAAGCAGGGAAATTGTCTCTGTCTGTTGACAGCATGATCCTATTATAAAGAAGCCTCAAGACTTCACCAAAAAGCCATTAGAACTAATGAGCACACGGAGTGAAAATTCAAAACACACAGCATTCTGTCTGCCGCATACAAAAATCGGTTGTGTCTATACAAGAATAGTCTCACAAAAAAGTCTGTTGGATGGCTTTTACCCACCTGTAAAATCCATGCAGTTTCCAGATACAAATATTCCACACCATACCATTGATTTATTTATTAACTTTACCATCAATCTCATCACAAGTCTTTAACAGACACAAATTTTCTTAAAATTCCAGTTTTCACGTGAAAACTGGAATTTTACCAGCCTTTGGGTTTTTTTTTTTTTTTCTTGCTTTGTTTTGTTTTTGAGGCAGAGTCTCACAACGAAGCCCAGGCTAAACTTGGGATCTTCCTTCCTCTGCCTCCTGAGTGCTGGAATTATAGGAGTGGACCACCCCACCCAGCTTGCCAAAGTAATATTGAGAACGAACAGAGCTGGAGACATTGCCCTTCCTGATTTCAAAGTATGCTACAAAGCTATAGTAATCCAAACAGAAAAAAGGGTGCTGCTGGCATAAAAACAGTACCAACAGGGAGATTAAATGGTGGTCACCATCACTAACCATCCAGGAAACGCAAGTCAAAACCACAGTGAGATGTCTGTCACCTCACACCCAGGACAGCTGCTACCCAAAGGTCAAAAGCTACCAGGTGCCGGAAGAATGTGGAGAAAAGGGAGCCCTTGCTCACTGTTGATGAAAACATAAACTGGTATAGCCATGAAGGAGAACAATATGGACACTCCTTAAAAACGTTAAAAAATTGCACCATCCTTTGATCCGGCAAATCTCCCTACTGGCATTCCTTCTGGTAGTCCTCTGAATAGTCAGAGGAAATGAAATCAGTGCAGTGAAGACACATCCGTCTGCATTCCTACCCTCGTTACAGCTTTATCCACAACAGGCAAGACGTAGAATCGAACTATGGCCAAGAATTGATGAATGGGCCAGGAAAATATGGAATGCTTTCAGAGTAAAAAGAAAAAGGAGGACTGGAGGTATGGCTGAAGCTGTAGAGCACCTGCCTCACAAGCGTAAAGTCCTGAGTTCAAACCCCAGAACCACCAAAACCGAAGAAGGAGGAGAAGGAAAACAGGCCAGATGCTGTGGCTCACATCTGTAATCCCAGCTACTTGGGAGAGATTGAGATTCGAAGTTGGCCTGGGCAAAAAGTCCTGCAAAACCCTGTCTGAAAAATACCTAAAGCAAAAAGGACTGGGGATATGACCCAAGTGGTAGAGCAACTGCTTAGCAAGTGTGAGGTCCTGAGTTCAAACCCCAGTACCACAAAGAAGGAAGAGGAAGAGAAGAAGAAGGAGGAGGAGTCAAAGATGGAAGAGGAAAGCCACCATTTGCAGTAACTGTGGATGAACCTGGAAGATAATACGCTAAGTGGGATATGCCAAGCACAGAAATAAGTGAGACGCATGGCCTCACTGATGTGTGGAATCTACAAAGATTATTTGTAAAAACTTCGAGTTGAACAGAGGCCAGTGGGAAAATGACACCAGCAGCCACAGGTGCACTTTCTATTCCAGCCCAGGGCAAAGCTGTTGTCTAGCAAAAGCGTGCGCAAACCCTCAGCAGAAAAGTGGTGCGGATGAATGTGTGGCCTATAGTCATCCAATGAGGGCCACCCAGGCCTCTTGGAATGTGCTGATTGGCCAGGTCAGGTCACATGCCACCCTTCCTTCCCAGAGTGGGCGGCTCCCCAGGGAAAGGATGCTGTAGTCCAGCCCCTTCATGCAGGCTGGCCAGCACTGTTGGACCCCACCCTCTCCCAGCTGACGGGAATGCTGGCTTTATCACAAACCACTGTTCGGTCTGATTGGTGGGCGCCCTCCCTGGCCTGTGCCCTTCCACTGCCCTCTGTCCGTTCATCAGTGCCACAAGGTTCCCACTCAGTCACTTTTCAGTGTGTTCCAGCTGGTGATCAGGTGATAAGGTGCTGGATTCGGGGCACGTATATTAAAATTGGAATGATACAGAAATGAACTTGGCCCCTGAGCAAGGATGACAGGCAAATTTGTGGAAGTTTTCCATTTTTTTTTTTTTTAAGAAAAGATGATAAAGTCAGTGCTTCTCCATCACCCTTCCTTTCCAGAATGTTTCTGGATATGCTTAAGGTTTTTTTCCATTTGAATTTTGGAACCAGTGTGCGTCTTCAGGACTAACTGACGTTAGGATTCCTCTGTCCTGGGAGGACCCTGTCCTTCTCCCAGTCAAGCCTTCCTGGAACTCTCCTGGTACCATCCTGACTTTCTCAGGGATCTCTCATGTTGTCTGTTGGATATAATAGCTTTTTCCCGTGCTCAGAGTGGGGGCAGAGCACAGCAAAGGGGACTGGTCCGTGCAGACTCACTGGTCCAGTGAGTCTGGACCAGAGAAGACAAAGCCCAGGAGTCAGGCATGCACCCCCCCACACACCCACCCTTGCACCCCCAGAATCCATCTCAGTCCCCAGGATGGAGGCATGTGGGGGAAGCAATTGCTGTCTGCATGGCCATGCTGGCCTCCTACACAGACATGGCCTCCATCAGGGGGCCTGCAGGGTAGGGGACCTGCAGGGTTGGTTCCTCTGGGAGCCTCAGGATCAAGAGCCTGGACTTCCTCCAACTGGGCACCATGGGGGCGGGGAGAAGGCCGGGCCCCACATTCACTGCTCTGCTGTGGCCCCTGCTGGCTCCCAGAGGTAGCTATTTGTGCTGCCTGTGCTCAGTGCGGTATGGTATTTTAAATGTTTTGACATTTAGAATCTGTGCTGGATACATTCACTCTGTTAAATCCTACCCGGGCCACAGTGACTCACTTAGCCTTGGTTTGTCCCCTGAGACAGGGCCCAGCTGGCCTCTGGAGCTAGCAGAGGGTCTCTCACCTGGCCTTAACACCCTGCTGTAGATAAACTTAAAACAAAGCAAGCACCAGAAAGCAAGGGAGGTGAGTGGGCCCCAAACTCCAGACCTACCATTTGGGGGAGGGCAGAACAGACCCTCTACTCACCAGAGCAAAAGGAACTGCAGTCCACTGAGCTGGCATGGGCTGGCAAGTGCAGAAGGGCTGTCCCCCTGAGTAGCTTGTCCTTGGTCTGGTTAGCAGAACTTTGTGCAAATGGGACTTGAAAGTGAACTCCGGTCTCTTCTTCCCTGAAGCCTTCCTGAGTGGGGTCTGGAGTTGCCTGGGGGGATGGTGGGCAGGGTCTTCAGAGGTGCCTGGGCCAGTGCCAGGAAGAGGCCCAGGAAGCAAACCTGACCATTTTCTGGAACTTCTGGGTGGCTGCCTTGGGTCTCCATGGCCACCGCCCTATTCAAAGGATATGACTTGACTATCCTCCCCTCAGAGCATGTGGTCCAACCTACCTGCCATAGGCAGCAGCCATGCTCTCCCACTCTGCCCACATGTTTTGCTCCTGTCCTGAGCAGGGGCTGCAGCTAGGGGCGGTGGCTAGGGGCGGTGGCATGGCGCTGCTCCCTGTACACACCCTCTTAAGCAGATGCTTTGGAGACCAGTCTCAGCTTGATATCACCGAAGGAGACAGGTCTGTGTTTAAATGCATGTCCAGCCATTTCAAAGCCAGTGGCCTCTGAGACTCAGTTTCCCCAGATGCAGAATGGATGTGGAAGGTGGAGGTGGGGGTAGAGCCCAGGTGCTAATGAGAGGGGCGATGCTGTCGGTGCCCTGAGAAGCAGCTGGGAGACGAGGTCCATGTGAGCACAGATCCGAACCCTCTGCCTACAGGGAGAGCTGTGGGCTCAGCCTCCCTGGAGCAGCAGTGAGCTGGAGTCCTGGACACTGGACGCCCAGACTTGGAATGTGTAGCCCAGCCCTTCTCATGGTCAGGACACCTGGGGTTAGTGTGTCTTGGTGCACACAGGTGGGACCTTGTTACTTTGAGGTGGCAGAGAGTCCAACCTCTTCTGAGCTGGGTTGAGGTGGGTGCCAGGGGACAGCCTGGTCTGCTGGACATCCTGCCTGGGCTGAGCACCTCCCCTACCTAGGCCCTGAGCCCATGACTGACAGCTCACAGGTCAGGTGGGTAGGGGCTCCTGCCCTGGGTCTGACAGCTCCTCTTGCTCCCCTGCAGGTCAACACTTTCATGTCTTTTGTGCTCCCCATGGTGGTCATCTCAGTCCTGAACACCATCATCGCCAACAAGCTGACTGTCATGGTGCACCAGGCAGCGGAGCAGGGCCGGGTGTGTGCGGCGGGGGCCGAGCACAGCACCTTCAGCATGTCCATCGAGCCAGGCAGGGTCCAGGCCCTGCGGCACGGCGTCCGGGTCTTACGTATGTAACCTGGGGCCCTGGGAGTGGGGGGAGGGCAGGCCAGAGGGCAGCAAGGGCAGCCAGTGCTGCAGGACCCAACCTGGAACGAGGTGTAGCGATGTGAGTAGAACACTGGGACCAGTACCAGGAGGGGCAGTTGCACCAGGGCAGTGCTAGTCTTCATCCTCTCATTTACTCAGTAAGGGTCCTGGGCGCTGGGTCTGTGCCAGGTGTCTTGCTCACAGTCAGTGACAGCACAAGGAAGAAAATAAAGCCACGTGACAGAACTGGAGTTGCTGGGGGGTGACTCTGGGAGGTGACATCACTCTTCAGGACCAGCTGTCTCAGCAACAGAGGTATAGACAGAGGGCATGCCATGCAAAGGCCCTGTGGTCATACAGTACGTGGTAAGAAAGCTGGGCAGAGGGTAGGCTGCAGTCCATGCAGCCTTGGCAAGTGGTAGATTTTGTTCCACATGTGACAGGGAGAAACTCAGAAAACACAGAACTCTTTTCATTGTTGAGACCCATTCCCTGTGGCATGGGTCTGGACCTTTCCGGGCTTTTTTAAGGGTGGCCTTCCTGCTGCTTGTGAGGCTCAAGGTGCAACCCTGCAGGACGATGTGTCTTCTAGTAGGGAATCCCAAAGACCAGCCCCCACAGAGCCCCAGAGCAGCTGGACACACGGAGCCCGGGATGGAGCCCATGTTTGCTCCCAGCACTGTCCTCCAAGGTGTCCTGCCTCGGCCCTCTCATGGCATCCTTGAAAAGGTCTCATTATCCAAACACTTCACCGCCCCCCCGCCAAGGCATTGCCTCCAGAGCACCCACCTTGTGCCTCCCACCAGCCCAGCAGCTCTCCTGGTTACTGAAAGATAGCTTGGTCCTGAGCAGGGCCTGAGGGCTGCGGTCAGCTGCAGACAGAGGGGCCTGGGGCTGAGAGTAGAACAGCTGAGGCCCCATGTAAAGCTGTCCCTGGTGATGTTGGCAGTGGTCAGTGCTGCCTGCTGGGCTCATCAAGCCCAGGCACCTGGCCACTGCACCTGTCATCCTGCCATAAAGTGCCAGATCCCACCCTCCAGAGGCTGCTGCTATCCCCTGGCCTCCCAGCCCATTGCTGTCCTGACCAACACCCTGCTGTCCTTATCTGGCTGTCTCCACAGCAACAGAGGTCAGACAAAGGTACAAAGACCCAGAGAGGCCCAGGTTGGCCCTGGGGCTCTCAGCAGGTAGCTGTCCATCTTCTCTCTGGGCAGCACAGGAGGGGCAGGAAGGTGCCCCCTGGCTGGACGTCTTTGAGCCTATTCACTGCTCCAGCCCGAGCAAGTGGTTCACGAGACCCCATCTTGAAAAGGGTTGATGGTCTTCCAACCCCTGAACTCCTAATGTCTCCCCGAGTGCCCGCATCTCTCTATCTCTGTCTCTCAGGTGCCGTGGTCATCGCCTTTGTGGTCTGCTGGCTGCCCTACCATGTGCGACGCCTCATGTTCTGCTACATCTCGGATGAGCAGTGGACTCCGTGAGTTCTGGTCCCTGGGTGGCACCACCCAGCAGGGGGCTTCTGTGGGGAAAGGGGAGGTTGCTGAGCCCTACAGTGGCCCTCAACCCCAGCGAAGCTCTCTGGACAGAGAAGGTAGTGGGGGGACAAGGTGAGAGCAGACAAGGCACTGGATCCCCAGGGCCTGAGCAGGGATTCCTCACGCACGGGGAGCTGTCCTCGTCACAGTCACCTGAGGCAGCGTCACACTCAGGCCTGCGATTTGTCACAGCAAAGTCAACAAAGGGAAAAGCCACATGGGCAAAGTCAGGGGGAGGCCGGCACTTAACTCCCCAGCTGGGAAACCGCTAGGAACTTGGTGCCAGTTCTAGGGGCTGCCAGGTGAGGGAGACCACTGCGGGTGGAGGCAAGTGTGCACAACCACCAGGACCGCCGAGGCTCCTGCCCGATTGTGTGGCTCAGCCAGGGACCAGCCAGGCTCTGCCGCCCTAAGGTGTTAGAATCGGGCCCAGGCCTCTGCAGGGCAGTCCGTGTGGGCTGAGGGAGAGGTGGACTGGGACAAAGACAGAGGCCATGCTGCCCTGTCTGAAGAGACACAGTTGAGGCGGGAGTACGACAGAGCCAGCCCGGGTTTGTTACCAAATAGCTCCATGGAGAAAAGCCCCAGGGAGTGCGCTGGTAACCCAAGCACCATGCTGCCGCTGGCCACAGCTGGCCTCTGTGGCCTCTGACTGGGTCCCCGCGGGTCCTGGGGGCTGCTGGGATCTGAGTATCTCTCCTCCCCCAGATTCCTGTACGACTTCTACCACTATTTCTACCTGCTGACCAACGCCCTCTTCTACATCAGTTCCACCATCAACCCCATCCTCTACAACCTCGTCTCCGCCAGCTTCCGCCAGATCTTCCTGTCCACGCTGACCTGCCTGTGCCCCGAGTGGCGGCGCAGAAGAAGGAGGCCAGCTTTCTCACGGAAGCCTAACAGCATGTCCAGCAACCATGCCTTCTCCAGCAGCGCCACCCGGGAGACGCTGTACTAGGGCCCCAGGAGGCCGGCCGGTGGGCCAGTCGGCCTCGCCCTGATTGTCAGGGCGACAGCCACACCTGAGCCTCGATGGCTCAGCCGTGGCCACTGGCTGTGCAAACGAAGCCAAGGCCATGCCCTCAGCCCAGAGGCTGTTTCGTTTCAGCTTCTCCCTCCAATCGCTTCTCCTCTCTTCTTCCTTTCCCCCTTCTCCCCCTCAAAAGCCAGAAAAAGACTGCTCCTCTCCCAGATCCCAAAAGGGCCTTTAACAGGGACAAGCTAATGCTCGGCAAAGGTGGCTGCCTTTGTTCCCAGACTAATGAACGTTTTACAGAGAGGAAATGAAAGCAGTGTTCAGGCTGGACCCTTGGGCAGCTGGGCTATTGTTACCCTGACCAGCCCTGCCAGCAGGGCCACAGCTGTCCTGATCACCAGTGACTGAGGAGAGGACTCAGTGCCCCCAGGCCCCATCCCCACCTCCCTCACAACCTCTGGTCTAGCTCATGGGCAAGTTCAGCCTCAGCCAGGTCTAGTGACCTTCATGGCTCTGGGCCTCACGTCTAAACCCATCCCTGGCAGGCCATCAGGCCACCCCTCCCAGGGTGACCCAAAGAAGGCCCCAACACTCTCCTTCAGGCCTGGGATCCATGGCAGGGGGTAAGGGGGTCCATCTTCCCCACTCTGACATGCCCACAAAAGACAAAAGGGGACTGGCCTGGAATTGTCCAGAGCTGGGCCTTCTTCCACTCCTGGCTGTCCTCACCCAGAGCAAGCCTTGGGAGGCCCTGCAGGGCCACTGTGTGGAGGTGCTCAGACCTCTGCTTCTCAGGTCCACATGGGGATTACAGATCAGCAGTACCTGGCCTCACTCAGGCAGTCTTTGCCAGGACCAGTGAATTCCTGGGTCTCTCACACAGGGTAGGACTCTGAGAAGGGGGGACATGGCTGGGGGTGACAGTGCCAGATTCCCAAGCAAGATGCCAAGTGCCCAGGACTTGTGTCACAGGTAAGGAGGGAAACAAGCATCCATGTACCCCAGCTTAACTGCAGCCCTAGGCTGAGACTTTCACTCATTTGTCATCAGCTGCTGAGTAGCAGCCCTGGCCCAGACTCCAGGTGCCCAGAAAAGCAAGCACCCTTGGTCTCTAGGAACTGTCTCCACACAGGACAGGACGGGACTGGCTCCCTGCTGAGAAGGTTGCTTGAACAGAGGAGACTGGTCCCAGAACAAGCCGTGGACAGCTGGGCAGGAGCAGCAGAAGGGTCGGAGAGTAAAACTTGGCTTTTTTCAAAGTAGGTTTTACTGTCCAGGAGGCAAGAGGGGGGATATGGGCAGCTGACTTGCAAGGGCAGAATTGCCTCAAGACACAAGAGAGGAGCAGTCCTGGTCCAGGGCCAGCACTGCTCCCTCTGGACTGCAAAGGCACGAATTGAAGGCCAGGTGTTGGTGGCCACCCTAGACCTGGCCACTGTGTTATGACCTGCTGTGCAACACGAACCACAAAATCCCCCTGCCAGCAACCTGACCATTTGGGCCACCTTAGGACATTAGGACAATTTGCTGACCCCAGAGAGATGTGGCCAGCCCAGAGGGGGTCTTCTTCACTCAGAGCTCCCCAGTGGGGTCTGCTCTAGGCAGGAGAGCACTGCCTAGCCCTATAGGTCAAAAGTTAGCGTGGGGCCACCCTGTTCAACAGGAGGGCTTAGAGACCCCAAAGTTGGGCACAGACCCCAGGCCTTTAAAAAAGGAATTGGACTCAGGGTCAGACAATCCAGCCCCAGCCCCCACCTCCTGAGACCATGGGCACACCATGATTCCTCTAAGCCTCAGTTTACCCATTTATGAAACATCACAGTGAATCAACTAGTGGAGCACTTGCCTATCATGCATGAAACCCTGCGCTCAATCCCCAGTACTGAAAAAGAAAAACAAAATTAAGCCAATTTAACTAGAAACAGCATGGCTGTCCCCCGTCTCAGCTGGCTATGACTGTCCTGGAGGACACAGCCTGGAAAGGGGACAGAGCCAACACCCAACCACCCAGGCCTCTGTAGACACCATGGCATGGTCTGCAGGAGGGTCTAAGCTGAACCTGAAGTCTGCTTCACTGTTGTACTGTTGTCTTTTTGCTCCTGTCCATGTACATGATACAGGTAGAGACTCGTGTCCATGCACCACCAGACGTGCCCAGGCACTGACTCGGTGTCCTCAGTTCTTGGCCAGGTCATGATGGAAATAAGTCTGGAGGCTGCCCCGAGTACCACAGACACATGCAGTCATGGGGTCCAGAGTCCTGCGAGCCCGGTGGTGATATCTAAACCCATTGTGTGCTTTAAACATTCCTCACAATGCCCCCCTCCCTGCCATACTGCAGTGGAAAACCAAACCTCCCGTACCCCTCAATAAAGAAGATTGTGGACCCCCAATTTGGACTCTTGTGTTAAGGGCCTGCGTACACCCATCCATTCACTTATTCACTCACCCATTTAGACCGGGTGATGCAGCAGTCAGCCCGCCACCTGGCTTCTTCCAAACACTTGAGCATTAGTCACGCCTCCCAAAGGCTGGGGACCCCTGACCTCCCTAGTGAGCCGAGAGGCCTCCACCTCCTTCCGCACCCACTGCTCAGCCTCAGCCCTCTCCTCAGCAGAAATCTCTCCATGGGCCAATAGCTGTTTTTAAACTCTGGTTAAACTTTTTAAAATAAAATTTTTGGGGTTTATACAATATAATTCTCCACAAAGTTAGCTGTCTACATGCAAGACCAGGAGGACAGGGCAATGCTGCACAGCCAAGGAGACATTTGAGCAGAAACTGTGGGCTGAGTTGCCCACTCCAAGTAGGGTGGTACGAGAAGAAGGAGAGGGAGGATGAGGAGGAAGAGGAGGAGGAGGAGATGGAGAAGAAGAGGAGGAGGTGGAGGAGGAGGAAGATAGGGGAAGGAGAAGGGGAAGAAGACACTTTTCTGTCCCACTTCTAGGACAGCAAAGGAGACCAGCCTCCCTGTCTCCCAGAGTACCCCAACTCCCAGCCTGCCTGGCTTTTCTGTTTCTCCCTGACCCTTGCTCTGCTGCCTGCCATGCAATATGGGGTCTTCTGTTCACGTTCACATGTTCACACACCACAAAGACCCAGCTGGTCAGTCGTCCCCTCCTTTCGACCTTCCAGTTCTTCATCAGCCCTGCTCCATGGAGGAGAGAGAAGTCAGCTCCCAAGGGTGGGCAACACAGGGGCCATGGGACTGTGTGTGCCTGGGGACACAAGGGGAATGTTCACTGGCGTAAGTGTCCAGTGGTGTGGTGGTCATACACACACGTGCACATGCACACATTACACACTCGTGCACATGCCAGATTTAAATGAGCTAAAGACCCAGTGCCGTTAGCTCCAGAGCTGCCCTGCCCAGCTCCCCAGGGGAAGCAGGTGGACAGGACACTCACCTACAGGAGAAGCAGATTGGGCTATGCCCCACCTCATCCGCTTTTCTGCCCCAACCTCTGCCTCTTTCTACCACAGTGGGTCCCCTGCTCCCAGCCCAGCCCAGGTCAACAGGTAGAGGCAGGGCCCTGTCTATAATCTAGTGCTTTCCTCCACGGTACAAAGACAGGTCTACCAGAATGAGGCTTCACGATTCCTCTGCTGACTCCCAGGATCCTCAGCGGGCAGAACCACCAAGACTGCTGACACGACACCCCCAGGCCATTGGGTCCCATGCAGCCAGCAATCCCAGGGCCTGGAATCTGCACCCTTAACACTGCACCAGCAAAGTCAGCCACTCCCTAAAGCACAGAAACCTCCAGGTGATCCCACTTGCTCATTCACAGCTGCTGACCAGTGCTCCTTGGGGCCTGGCCTCCTTGTGCTGACTCACAGCCCCCTTCCTGACCAGCAAGGACGTCCTTCCACTCCCATTCACTCCCAGGGGCAACACACTAATCTGAGAGGCACGTAGACAAGAACCTCAAAGGAATGAAACTCTAATGGAATTCCAGGCCATGGTACTTGTTTCAGGACCTGGACGGAGGAGTCCTCTGGCTCCATTGCTGTCACCATTGCTAGACAGCGGGGCAGGACTTGGGAGAGAATTCTACATGTTCTAAATACACTTTAAAGAAGAAAACACAGCCTGAGCTTGCCGTGTCTGCACAGCGCCCCCCCCCCCTCCTTCCACACCTCACCACTCCCTGCAATTATGGTTTGAATTCCAGTTTTTATCAGGACACCATGGAAACCATGTCCAGGCTGAATTTATGAAAGGAATGATGTCAAGGGAAGGCAGGAGCCCCAGTCAGAGGAAGGGACGGGAGGTAGACAGAGGTGGCCAAAGGAGGCCATCAGCACCTGTTCCACAGGGCAATAAGCACACACTCGTGCACACAATGTACACGTCATACACATATATGTGCACACACTCAGCCTCCTCAGGGCCTCCCATTCCATCATTTGGGCCTCCACTCCTTGGATATGAGACTTGCCAGTTCTCATTCTGTTAGTTCTCTAATGAGGTGGTTAGCAGAACCACTGGGGAGCCCTGGAAATCCCCAGCCAGGCCCAGAAGCAGCCAGTTCCATAGAGCCTCAAGCAAGGACCCCTCAGCTCAGTCCCTACTGCCCCCAAATTCAACACTGTCAGCCCTTGAGGGCCAGAGGGCACCTGGGCCAGATCCTCTGTGAGGAGAACAAGAAGCCCCTGCTCCCAGCCATGCAAGGCCCCACAACAGCCCTGAGCCCTCACCTACTGCAGACAGTGTCTGTGGCATTGACCAGCTGCCTCAGCAGGGTACTTGTCTCCACCCCTGAATGGCTCCTCTTTCCCCACTGCCTTCTTGTGGCTTACACTTAAACACTGCTTTCAAAGTCTGTTGCCAGGCAGGGCAATGAAAGGACAGGGGCCCAGACATCAGGACCCCAGCCTAGACTTTGGCCTGGAGTGTATACAGCAGGGTGGGAGGGAGGCAGGAATGGAAGGAGAAGGAGAGGGAAAGAGGGAGGGAGGGAGAAAGAAAGGGGGGAGGA